GGTGCTGGTTAGCATTGCAGACGCAGCAAAGCTTCCCCAGAGAAAAGCTACGAGTCGATGAGCGGCGACAGAGTTCATCAGATTAAGGAGTCCAATCACGGCACGGCCCCGTAGCGAGACACGCCCACGCTGTTCCCGAGATACGCTGCGTTAGCCTTGATGTCGGTGGGTCTCTTCACTCCACTCGTCTTACTCCTGCTTTCATCTACCGCATCGCCCCGCCTCTCTGCACACCTTTACCCTCATGAACGCCACAACCACCGGACGTCTCCACAGACCACCACGCCGACACCTCACACCGCCACTTCACCTGGGCCAAAGTGAGCCCCACATACTGTTTACTTGAACTCTCCAAATCTATGTGCTACATGTATATAGTGCCAGGTCCTCATGCAGGTATAAATGTGTGCGTGCACATGCTCCACGCTTCATCAGACTGCAGTGTGTTTGCACCTGCACAGGTGAGGCTGTGCTGTATCACTTCACTGCTGCGGTTCCCTCTGACGTCTGTGTTTACACGTGTGAGCGGACCGTCGCTCTCAGAGTCACGCGAGGGAAAGCGTTTTTAAACCTGCCGTTTCCTGAATGATCTGCAGGAGGAGCTGAAAGTGTCGGAGCTGGTTATGACGGAGCGGCGTGGGTCAGAGTGGCGGCTGTAATCGTGACGGCTCGATGTGTTTGTTGTGTTTTCATTTCTGCGTCAAACACAGATTCAGCGAGACGTTTACCTGGATGTCAAGTTCATCACATCTCTGTTTTTACTTTTGGCTTTAAGGCCCAAACAAATAACGGATGAAAAGTTTGTGAGCGAATTTCTGTGTAAATATGATTAAAAATCATCACAGATTAAAGAAATCACGCACGAGCGTCACAAACACGACCAGTGGAACAACAGCAGGAGGCTTACAGGTCTGACCACAGAGCCTCCAGCACACCGGGCTGGTAAAGAACCAGACTCAGCAGCATTCCGGTGCTCCGTATGCCGTGGGAACGCTGTGGAAACGCCGTTGGAACGCCGTGGGAACGCCGCGGGAACGCCGTTGGAACGGCGTTGGAACGCCGTCGGAACGCCGTCGGAACGCCGTCGGAACACCATGGGAACGCCGTGGAAACACCGTTGGAACGCAGTCGGAACGCCGTCGGAACGCCGTGGAAACGCCGTCGGAACGCTGTGGGAACGCCGTGGAAACGCCGTGGGAACGCCGTGGAAACGCCGTTGGAACGCTGTGGGAACGCCGTGGAAACGCCGTGGGTACGCCGTGGAAAAGCTGTTGGAACGCTGTGGGAACGCCGTGGAAACGCTGTGGGTACGCTGTGGAAACGCCGTTGGAACGCCGTGGGAACGCCGGCCTTAACGTTCCAAAACAAGCATGACCTAACCTTCCAGCGATTGCCAGCTACGAAATAACCACCTACTGACCAATCAGATCTGTGGAAAATAACACAAACCCAGGAACGTTCGCTGTCTGTCCCGTGAATGACTCGGATACTCTGATGATCTGCTGAGTGATTCTCCAGCTTCACCTCGAAGCTCTCACCATCAGCCAGCGCTCTGCTGCAGTTCTTCCACCCAGAACGAGGAGTAACTCTCAGATCTGCAGCGGCTTCATTAGTCGTGCTTTCTGTTCTAAAATCAGACACGTGGCGTGATGAACCCACGTGGAGCTTTGTAAAACGAGTGGGCGAGTCTCCGAACCCTCCCGAGACAGCAGACGGCGTTAGAAATAAAAATCAGCAGGTAGCTAAACCCTGTGACCGCGCGGTGACGGATGAAGGTCCAGACCTGCTGTCGCACAGAAGAACTGAAAATGGAGCCTCCAACAAACAAACGAGTAATGGAGACTCACTGCTCTCCACCTGTTGCGGCTTCATCCCGGGTGGGCGTGGCTTCATTTATTCTGTATCCACACACACCTGCAGTAAACAAACGGCGCCAGCGCTCACCTGTGCACTTCCTGCTGCTCTCGTCCTTCTTGGAGGAGCTCATCAGTTTGCAGTTGAAGTTCTCCTCCCAGTACTCGGCAAACCACACGTTCCTCCTGTTGTTCTCCAGAGTCCGCGAAGTGAAGTAGGCATCGAACCCTGAAAGACATCCGGCAGCAGGTCGGAAAACAAAACAGAGAGGTTGATTCATTAGGCGGCGACAGCCCGGAGCGCTCGAGCACGAAGACTCAGAGCAAACAGGACGTGTTTCCTAATGTATGTGAGTGTTTATCTGCTCATCTGTGCTGCATTTTAATCAGGCCTTTATGTAATCCATCTAAAGTGCTGTCAGAGGGGAGTTCTTCAGGAAACACTTCATTCTGCTGCCGACGAGGAAAACAACCGGAGCAACTCGACAGCTCCGGATGGAGCGAATGTAGATAAAGAAAGTACCCGTGAAAGATTCTTTACAGAACTTCCTGCCAGTTTAAAGAGCTCACAACGTTGTGTAACGCTGCCCGAACACACGCCAAGACCGCAGCAACAACAAAACCCCGCATATGGTAATAACATTCCTGGCAGGAAAGGGAATTCCACCGGGATGAATAGAAACGGAGCTGCGGATCACCAGAAATAGCTCCAACCGTGTAACCTTTGCACGAATCACAAAGGAACGAGAGCCGAGGAGGCTGGTGTGTAGGTTTCTAATCGCATAAGCAAATTAAGAGATTATCACTGAGAAACAAGAAACGGGTCAAAAACAGGATTTTATTCATATACTGACGAAATAATCCGAATAACAACCACCTGACATCCCAACAGGTGCTGTGACAGGAAGCTGGCAGCACATTCATCATCCATGCGTGCGAGCTGTTCGTGCATCTGCTGCTGGGAGTCTTCCCATGAGAGCGCGCAACAACAACAACAACACAACAACAACAACAACAACAACAACAACAACACAACAACACAACAACACAACGTGGTGCAGAGTGCACTCCAGCGCTCCTGGAGGCTGAGAGGGCGTGGCACTGACCACGTGCACCGAAGACGGCGACTTGTCGCTAACCATCGCTAGCCGTGAGCCAAGCGGTGGAGAAACGGGGTAACGCATATACAGGCACCTTCAAAGTAAAAGCATCGATGCTTCAACAATACATTTCAAAAGGTGCAACACTTACTTTGAAGGCAAAGCTTTTTTTTTAGTGTTTTTAGTTTCACTGAGTGAACAGCTGCTGCGTGTTTGCAGACAAGCTGGTGTTTCCTGTGACGCATGCATGCTAACACTAAGATATGCAAC